GCGCCGCTTTCACCGAGCCGTACGAACGCGGGGGCTCTGGCAAGCGATGGGCTTGCATGGCATCGGCGGCAGCTGCGGTATGGGCACAGGGGCTGCTCCCCCACTTTCGTCAGCGGGAGGGATGCTGGCGTCGCAGCTGGTTCAACCAGCTTTATGGCCTCTTTGTGCTGCTGCAGAAGGGCTGAGAATCTGGCCCTGGCTCCCTCCCCACCTCGCCGGGGACTGCATCAGTGTGCTGTTTATTGTTTCTGCCAGATCATTCATGCAGATGTTAATGAATGCTAGACCCAGCTTTGCTCCCAGCAGAGTCCCTTCCACACCTCCCCCTGCCCAGCCCTCTGCACTGGAGTTTCTGTTTACAGTCCTGCAGGGAATTTCCCCTCTGCTGCATGGTCTTCGAGCCGCAGAGGCCCAATTCCTGATGCCAGCAGGCTCCCACACCTCCCTGGTTCCTGTAGCTGTCCGATGTCACCTCCAGGTGTCTGCGTCCCCCACTGTCACCATTCCTTCTCCACCTCCGGCCTCCCCAAACTAGAGACGTGCCAATTCTCCTAGGAAGGAGCAGAGGGCTTGGCCAGTGAAGAAAGTTGCTACAGGTGCACAGATGGAGAAAGCGCAGGGAGAAGTTGCCAAATGGGAAGAGCAAAGCAATTTGTCCAGAAGGACTCTGAGACAACATCTACACTGGTAAGTGATGCAGCCCACAGGGATGCAGGAGCCTGCATCTGCATCACTCTGTTATCTTCAAACCCTAACTAGGTGGGCACCTCAGTCTGCCTATAATTGGGTAACTCTGGGAATACTTAGGAGGCTGTTAATCAGCCCAGCCCAAAATCCCACCAAGGTCCTCTGGGGAAGTTTAGCAGCACATCAGACCATGTCCCTAGGTCCCTAGTACTGCGATGGCTGAGCTGCACAGAGCCTTGCTGTCCTGGCAACTGTTGGACATTGGGAAGCCAAAGAACAAGTCTACCTGCTGCAAAGGGCATCAGTCTCAGGAGGGGTTTCTGATGTCTTCTTGATCAAAGCAACATCACTTACCCTTCCAGGAGAGCGATGACATTCTTTCTGGGCCTCCCAATGTTTGGCCCATAGAGGTTTGCTCTGGAATAAGTGCGGATAAGCTGCAGCAGGCTTCTCAGCTGGATGTAGTCCTTCCCCAGCTGGCTGCCGTTCACCGAGCGACCAATCAGGGTCCGATAGTTATTGGGCTCTGGGAAAATAAAAATAGACAAGCAAGGCTTGCCAGCTCTGCTCCTTCATCCGTGCTTCCGGAGAGAGACACACAGCTCACATGCTGTCGCACAGCTTGAGCTCCACAGAGCTGCCTGCCTGCTCTGTGGAGCAGAAGGAGCCTCTGAGGAGTGGAAGGCCATCACTTGCTCTCCTGTGCCAGCATCTCCGCTTGTGCCCCTTTTGTTCTGTGCTGGGTGAAGGACATGCACCCTGGTGTCATGCTCCTGTCCTCATAGGGCCCCCCACTTCCCCTGGCACTGCAGCCACAATACCTGTCCATAGAGCTGCTGGTCTGTCTCCCCAGGACCGCTGTGCCCAGCAGCCAGGGCACTTTTCACATGCTTAATACCAACTGATGGAAGCATCCAGCTAAGGCGCTAACACATGCCAGGTCCATCTTAGAGACGGTGCTGCCTTATAGCAGAGCCATTTACATCGCTCTGAAACTACATTGGCAAAGCATCCTGGGATCTGCAAATACCCTCTTCCAAAAGGGAATACCTTTCTGCTACAGCAAGCTCCATTCCCGTGGCTCTCCTGTTCCCACACTCACCATTGCCCAGCTCCCAGGAGATGTTGTACTTCTTGCTGGCACTGTACTTCAGGAGGCTGAGGGCATTGGAGCTGTTCCAGGAATTGTTGGGATTTCGGCGCAAAGCATTCAGTGCAAAGATCAGGTGAAGGCCAGAGCAGTCAGCAAAGTTATACAGTTTGTCTAGAGACCTGGCTGGGAAGAAACAAAAAACAGTTTGTAATTCAAATGAAAGCTAGTTCCAGGGAGGTTCAAATGATCCTGCTGTCCATCAGACTTTGCCTTCTGTGTAGGATGAGCCAGGGTCAAATGCCATCCCCATGACATCTGTAACCGCAGAAATGCACCTGACCTTTGAAACCAGGATAGGATTCCAGGTGTGGGCTCATCTCCTTCCAGCATGAAACTTGGATGCCCTCCACCACTGTGTCAGAGCTAGGGGCCATGTTACCAGAGACAAGTGACTTTATAACATCTCTTTTCATCTGCTCTTGGCAAGAAAAGTTCAACCTTTCCTGTGCTTATCCTGCCTTGCATCTCTTTCAGAGCAGATTCCTGCAGTGCCTGGGGAGCAGAGGAGGAAATCACCACTCCTGCCAGCTCACTGCCACCTCTCCTGCATGCCACCACAGCCTGCCCTCTGCTCCCACAGTGCCCTGTGCAGCAACCCAGCCCCAGCAATAACAACGCAGAGCTTCCAAGGTGTGCACCAGGCACCAGGCTAACCTCTGCTTCGCACACTGAGAGAGGAGCTTCGTGCCACCCCTTGAGCTCGGGGAGAGAGGAGGGCTCCCTGCCTGCTAACAGCCTGGCCAAGCCCTGCTGCTGGGGTGGCCCTCCTGGGATGTTTGTGACATTCGTGTCCCACCTGTTGACCCCAAAGTTCCCTGCCTGGCATCTCCCCTGCTGTGCCGTGGCCTTGATGAGCAGCAGGCCACCAGCCAGCAGCAGAAGTAGAGACCAAAGAAAGAGCTGACCCACTCATTCAAGGAGAAGTGGCATTAGCACAGGGCGCTGCTGGGAGAGCCAAAATGCTTAATGCCTTGTTTTGCTTACATCTTCCCAAAAAACTCAAAAGCAATCAAATGCTCGATGAAGCTAATGCCACTGTTAGCAGGATACAAACTCACACGACTGCGAGAGGAGGTTTGGTTAGAGAGTAATTAGATAACTCTGGTGTTTTCTATCATCCCTGCCTGTTGAACTGCATCCCAGGACACTCGGCGAGCTTCCTGAAGCAGCTTTGGAGATGCAACCGCTTAACTGTGAGGAGCCACTGGGGATGGGGAGGTTCCAGGGGGCTGGGGAGAGCATGCCGAGGACTCTGCTTTCAGAAGAGGGGAAGGAGGCACTGGGGAATTACAGAGTAGGCAGACCGGCTTCAGGTCCCAGAAAAATACTTGGACAAATAATCAAACTGCTTGTCAGCACTTACAAAATATAAGGAGATGATCAACAGCCACAGGAATGTGTCAAGAACAAATCACACTGAAACAATCTACTGACAGGAAAGCAGGGCTTGCGGGCAGAGAAGCAGCCATTTAGGTCTTATACCTTGATGTTTTTTAAGGCTTTTTACATGATTGCACATGATGTTCTCTCTGGCAAGTGAGGTAACCCTGATCTGGACTGAACCTCGGCACGAAATACGCACATTGAGAGCAGCTACCAGCGATGTGCTGTTAAACTGAAGGGTCTAGGCAGCCTGCTCTGCGTCTCTCTACATGTTTCCAGTGAAGAGGGGTATAACGCAGCGGAGGATACGCGGCACTAAGGTGCTAGCATGCGCCACCATGGACAAGGCAGCCGAAGGGGATGGAAGGGAGGCGACTGCATGCTCAGGAAGCCCCTCTTAGCCCAGGGGCAATGCTCCGACTCTCCCTGCACCCGCACTGCTGGACCAAGGTGCAAACGAGACGGTGACAGCCAGGAGCTGCTCGCTCCAGTCGGGATAAGCTCCTCAGCCTGTACATCTGCATTTATTCTGTCGCCTTCCCTGGAAGCCTCGGTGGATATGGAGCCAGCTATGAAGTCTGAGAAGAATGAACTTTAAAAGCAATGTTTTAAGGAGCGTCAAGGAAATAAGCTCACTGAATAGCTAACGTTTCATGGAACGCAGCAAAATCATGGAAAGGAAAAGAAAGAAAAAATGTGAAAAAGAAATTCTTAATCCTTCTCACAACGTTTTTCTAAACGCTACTGGTTGGTTGAGTGAAAATTAGCTGAATTAGATTAATCTAATGTATTCATCCCACTGGTTCAGGCACATTAGCTCTTTTTCTGGATGTTTAGTGAATTAGAGACAGATACAGTTACTTAATACTCATCTGCTTCAGACCTCCAGGCAAAAAGCTGCACTTGAAATGAGATTCCTATAAAGAGGGTAAGATAGACACCCAAGTGACAACATGAAGATAGCAAAAATGAAACATTTTTGCTGGTGCAAAACAGTTGTAGTTCTTAAGTACTACAGGAGGGGATTTGGTTCATGTTTAGGAGCCTCTGCAGAGGACTGGGAATTGATTTTCCATGCATCCACTGGAGGAAACAAGCTGTCTGTTTATCCCAGTGCAGGGCCTGCCACTGTGAAATTATATTTTCCCCATGACACTTATTTTATTTCCGTGTGCCTGGACACAGAGATGCCACGTGTATTTCACGTTCTGCCATGACTTTCTGAGCTGGAAAGCTCAGCAATCAGGGGAGAGAGCTAGGAGAAACACACGGATGTCTGGGGGTTGCTCCTGCCGGTTTCCAGCGACCTCCCAGCACACAAACCAACCTGCAGACTGCAATGAAGCCACAGAGAGCAGGAAACTACTAATAAACCTGTCTCTGCATCAAACCAGATTGTTAATATGGGCACTCATCATCGAGAGTATCAGGTACAAAGCCCATTTATCCTTGGATCTTTGGATGGTGTGAATATGGACGCACCAGTGACTCCGGCAGAACCTTGAGGACCAGTTTGCACAAGATGCCCAGCCACTAGTGGTTAAGGGGCATGTCTGATCCCTCCTGAGATGACCGCCTTAAACTGGACATCTCTGTTGCAGACAGCTGCGGTCAGATGAGAACTGTCACGGGTGGCTAGAGCACAAAAAGAATCATATTTAGAAGACCTTGAGTGATGTCTAGCCCTCCGTAAGTACAAACAGGGACAAAAGAGAATGCTATAAATATTTTACTGCCATGACTAGGGATGGCCACATTACTTCTGAGTAATGAGAACATGAAGAATTGCAGTATTATTAACAGCTGGCTAAAACTCACTTTGAATTCTGGATAATTGCACTGTTTTTTCTTCATCAAACAGAGAAAATCTTCCAGGAATTTAACCTTTCCCCAGCTAACAGATCATTAGGCGAGGCTTTCACAAAGCATTTCAACAGAAAAAGCCATTGTCTTATGAGAATGAATCTTAATAGAGCAGAACTGAATTTATAAGACGTTCTCCCTGACCCTTCTCCCCCTCTGCCCAGTGCAGGGATGCACATGCTCAGCGCTCACGTGCCCCTGAGCTCAGTAAGAAGGAATAAAGAAAGAAAGAAAGGAAAAAAAAAAGGAAAAAAAAGAAAGATAAAAGAAAAAAAGTGCAAGGATGTTGATGGTCAGCTCTGCCACTTACACAGTTGGAGCAAGGCGAACCAAGGCAGCAAAGCTACGTGCTCCGTTCCCTCGCCCCCAAGGGCAGGGCTGTGCTGGCAGGTTGCAGTGGGGATGGGCATCGTGGTAGGTTTGGGACTAACAGCAGCCAGTAGACAGAAATAGAGGTCCCATGACCCTGGCGCAAAAAAGAAAATCAGAAGATATTTGGGCTCTTTCAACCTTTTACATCCTCGGTTGCAGAGGCTTGGATGCATCTGGAGAGTGAATGCCGCCCAAAGATGCACGGCTGGGTGGCCGCCAGTGAAGATCTGCTCTCAATCCTGCCCTCAGCTGAAACTCTGCACAGGAATTAAAGATTTTGGATGCTTGCATGGATCTCTCACCCTGCACGGAGGGAGACAAAAAATTTCAAAATGCAGGAGAAGGTGCGAGGCCACAAATGGTGGTGGGAGTCATGGGACAAGTACGTCCTTTGGGATTCTTTCCCACGTTCCTCTGTTTTATACGAGGTTACATTTTAAAGATCTCTGAAAGATGGATGGCACTTAACTCTGTGGCATGCCAACACAAAATCTGAGGCACATTAAAATGTCTCTGGCAGTTTAAAATAATTGGAAAGACTTTCCAGTTGTAGTTACTGAATTAAACATTATACTAGAGACTTTATAAGGAACATAGTATTGACTGCCATTTGGTAAGAGGGACAGCTCAATAATCTCTGGGTTTGAAAGTCTTCCACATATTTTATTCTGCTTAAGGAATTTTGCTTTGGCAGGGTTTAGCACGAAGAGTGGAAATTCATGTGCACGCTGAGACGGAGGCTGAGATCAGCCATTGGGCTGAGGGGTGGCGGGGCATGGCACAGTGTGCCGGGGGCTTTCGTAACTCTGGGAAGTCAACCAGGAGGACAGGAAAGAAGAGCCTGTTCTCCCTCTACCCCCACCATTCACCACGTCCATCTCTTGCACGTACATCACGTGGCAGCACTGAGGAGGATGGGGAGAGAGCTGAACACAGAGCGGGCAGCACACACTGCACTCCCCAAATCCACAGGTTAGCTGAGAGATCAGAAAATGCACAACAGATGACCCCTTCTGTTGATAAAGCAAAGAAATGTACTTCTAGAAATAACGATTTCAACTAATCATGGGTATTGCTCGACTCTGCATTCCCCATAAATTCTGAGCAATGCCTGGAGCATCCCTAAAACAGCTCCTGGTGTCAGTACTCAAGCCAGCAGCATCCCCTGCCCCTTGGGCACCCCACAGGAGATAGCAGAGGGAAGGTGTTGGGAAAGACCTGGCAAAGAGCAGAGAATCCCAAAGAGAGCTGTACAGGGAGGAGGCAGAAAGGGTGGTACAGAGTGTTCAGACAGGAGATGAGTAAGATGACTGGCGAGAGTAATGGATGGAAAAAGAAAGGTATTCCCACTTGCAGAAGAACAAGTGGGTACATGGAAAATTTACTTACTAACAAATTGCCACCATAGTCAGCTGAATCCCATTTGCACTGGCTCTCTTGGGCTGAAAATCCTCATAAAACCACATATGTGTGGCAAGGACTTAATGTTTTCTTAGCAAATAAAT